GATGCCTAAACGGCGGATCAGTTTGCTCTGGTTCAAATAGCTCTGTTCCCTGTGGGGATGCACTAGACTAAAGACTTGCTCATGGACTATATATATATATATATATATATATAGTCCATGAGCAAGTCTTTAGTCTAGTGCATCCAGGGAGGGAACAGAGCTATTTGAACCAGAGCAAACTGATCCGCCGTTTAGGCATCACTAGCAACGATGCATATTCTCGTCCCAAGCCATTCGCAATCTAGTGCATCCCCACAGGGAACAGAGCTATTTGAACCAGAGCAAACTGATCCGCCGTTTAGGCATCACTAGCAACGATGCATATTCTCGTCCCAAGGGAGCCATTCGCAATGCGAGGTGAAACGACCACCCTAACGTCGAACTTTCAAGAGAATCTTTAAAACATTTTCTCAATACGTCTTGGTGAAACGGTTGGTAAACAGTCACATCAGTAAACTTTTGGCGTAGAAACAATCACAGAACCGTTTCAACCACTCACCATTTCACTCGCGGAATTACGAGAAGGCATGAAAGTTGACACAGTTGCGGAGCTGTTCTGTTCCTTTAACAACGCCAAACTCTCAACAGTTTCTGAATAGAAATGTTTGTCACAAACTGTTCTCTCGTTTGTCATGTAATTCAACAGACTGGCTCTTACAGAGTCGCCAAGTCCACTGAGTGGCTTCGCCGTTGCGTAGGACAATGTACTGCGCATTACCTTTTTAGTTGTGAGTCCACCCGATGTGAGATAACCGGGCGCCCGGTTTGGCATGTTGTTCACACGATCAGGAAGACCGTTCTCCGGATACCAAATTTTGGCTTTCTGTACCTGAATCAGTGAATAGAGTAGAGGCTGAGTACTGAAGAAACGAGAAGTGAAGGTAGGTGCAAGGAAAAACAGGGCAGCCATGGAATGTCTAGAGCCTGCACCTGAACTATTGACCTCCTGGTTGTTTACACCTTGAAAACCAGCAGTACATATCTCTAACCGACCCACGATACTCAAGCTAATTAAGGTCCACGCTGTTGGATACTGAGTTCGGTGAGGTGGTGAAAAGCTTAAAAAAAGGGTTTGTGGTTTATTTTTACAGAACAGGAAGTTTAATTCCAGAGCCTCTGATATGCCATACTACAGTGTGTTAAGGGCACGTGACAAAACATCGTGTAGGAGGATGTGATGTAACAACCTTCGGTAGGGTAGATGAACCTCTAATCTATCAAGCTGCATAGAAGATAGGCCTGGTCGTAAACTCTTCTCCCATGTGAGTGATGGTCCAGGATGTGAATAAAACGTGGCTTAGAATGCGGACTAAGGACCATTGATAAATAATAAGTGATAGAAACCTCACCGTACGTAGACATGAATGAAAGGCATCTAACTACAATGAGGAGATAAATCTGTGTGTAAACCTTCAGATAAGCAACTCTGGACGATTGGACAGTTAACCAAAACTCAATATTCGTTTTCTTTTCATGTTAGGATATTCTGTCAACCAGATGACAGTTAACCAAAACTCAATATTCGTTTTTTTCACGTTAGGATGTTCTGTCAGCCAGATTTCATAACATGAACGCACGGTGTTGGTGCACCACATCTCGTTGTGCAACAATCCAGATACGCCAACAAGTTCAGGACTGTGAGATTTTATCTCTGCAGGGATCAGTGAGTGAAGCAGTTATCTGTAAGCGGCTTCTGTTGATCGCACCGGTCAGCTGCTAACGTCGTGGCTTGTGTACGAAACTCGAAACTTGGTCGCGTGGTGTACGACCGCAGCCACAATATTGCCTCGTGTCCGTGAGCTTCGCCACACATGCTGTTAGCTGAGCAAGGGATGCTGAGGCAATCAGATGATCAGTCGTAGAATATCTAGCCGTGCCTGCTTGGTTGACCTATTGCTGTGGCGAGTGGAAACCATGGGATCACATGGCACGAAGGTGCATTCACTCAGTAATCCGGATTTTATGGGTAAGTTAGTAACCATCCGATCGTTTATCTACCAGGTAACCGTTGAAACCGAAGAAAGCAATTTGGAATCCAGAAATGGAAGCCAATAAAATAAGTAGAACCGATCAAACCGAAATGAATGGACGAATGGTCATTCAATCCGAATGGCAAATCAACGTGGGTCCATTAGCAATTTGGAATCCAGAAATGGAAGCCAATAAAATAAGAAGAATCGATCAAACCGAAATGAGTGGACGAATGGAGGTCATTCAACCTGAATGGCAAATCGACGTGAGCCCACCAGTCTACACAACATAGATGAAGCTCAAAAAGAGCGAAAAAGTGAGTTAAGAACAGCAGCTGCATGTTATGGCGTCCAAATCCTACCCGAAAGTTGCGAGTAAAAATCCCCGTAGAATCTCATGAAATGTGCACCGATGATGACAATCAGCAACAGCGAATCAAGTACACGACTTTTCCGTCTCTGTAGTATGAGATTCAGATTTGGACCGAACTACTCTGAGAATAGTGATAAGGATTTCAGAAAAACCTTTGGTCAACAGGACCGAATCTTCTCTACTGAAAATTTTCAGTTCAATAAGACGTTTTTGTCGACCTAATGGGTTTTCTCTCCTCGATTATCTGTCCTCGCAACATACGCTCAAGCTGAACATACACCAACCTGCGTTCCAAGTTACCAAAGATGCCTGGTTGACTGCTTCGAGTCAGACTGGAAGCATGCGTATGACACCAAGTGATCTTGTGCATGACCAACTGACGGCTGAACCAACATTTGCCGACCTTTTAACTTGTATAAGGCGCCAAAACAAAGTGATTAATTTACAAAGTAAAGGCTATTCTGTCGACAAATTACAAGGGTATCACGGACTAGGGTTGATCATCCCAGTACCCATGGAGTCCTGGAGAGAGTTGAGAACACAAAAAAATAAAAAAAAACGCTTATGACTTGGCATGGCGGAAAATGCGAATTGGTGGGCTTGGTTCGGCGTGGAAAACAATTTCGGTTCCGATTAGCCGACCATCTTTACTATGTTTTGGAGGCGTGACATTTAAACCAATCCCCCTAGTCGCCGACTAACATGCGTAGCGAAACGCTCCCATGGACTGCCCGTATTTCGAATGCTTTTGTACGCCAGGTATATGAAGCGAATCATACGGAAAAACCATTCTTAACAAGTCGAACAAGTTCAATGAGGAACAAGTCGGTGAGTTAAGTGAAAGAAGATATAGTGCTTAGAGCAATGTACAATATGCAGCATATCGGGGTAAAACACAAAACGTCATTTGTGACAATATCTTATCAGCCTTTCTACTTCCCACTTTCTATCTAATATTTGAAACAATGGTGTCTGGTGATGTAAAACGAAATTAGCATGTGTTATTCCGCCACACCCGCAATTTGTCATCAAATGCAAGCTTTTTAACACAAAGAATCGGTATAGTCTGAATATCATCAGCGCAGATCGTTCAGAACCGTATCTCTGCATCCCGGTCTGCATGACTGAAAATTTGCTGATAGACTGTTGGTTTTTGCTCATCTGATTCAGCAAAGCTACATTTGCATGACGATGGGTTTGTCGCTGACAGCGTGTTCTCTCCACACTCGCTTGGAGCAAATGAAATTTAAACGTACCATCCAACACAGATTCGTTTACTAGAGGTTCCAAAGGTTCTTCGTGACAGACGAGTGAACGCCGACAAAAGCGCTTCCGGCTACTTTCTTAACCAGGCGCGCGAAGGAATTTATCTGATTCGCTTAAACATATGAACAAGGACATAGGGCTCTGTCAAATTTTCCCTTAATATGTGAGGCTCCGTTGTTGACGCCGTTTTGAGCTGCCAGTGTCAATACTCTCATACAAATGCATACATGCAAATAAGGGCAGTCTTAAAAGCGGTGACTTGGGGTATGACTGAACTGAGGGGATCCATATTAATAAAATAAAACATCACCAAGGGATCCGTCCAATGGTAAGAAAGATATCGCGCGCTACAAAAGAGTACCAGAGGAGACTGAGGAATTGAAGGACAAACCACCAATTATGACGAGAGGGATGCGATCTCACCCCCTGCAGCCTCAATCGTACCTGTCCGGACAAAAGTGGTCAATCGTTTTCTCGGCCCTGACGCCTCCTTCAGGTCAAATATCACCTATGCATCTACTATCTGTCACAGTGGACTTTACAGCAGACATCGACAACTCAGGAAATCCTAAGACAACGCGGCCCATTTAATCTTAAGGACCGGACTTTCTCACGTTTCTTCCTTTTGTGTGACATGATCGTCGATTAAGCTATATCGGTCCTTCCTAAGAAGTTTTCTGGATGCAACTCTTCTTACCGTACAGTTTGTGAGCTGAAGACTTACGACGATTCGTCGTTCTTACACCAAAAACTGATGCCTTACAACAAGGCATTTGAGGTAGACTTTTGAAAATTACACCTGGCGCCACAAAACGTTGTTTCCGATAAATTTCCGCTGACGAATACAGTTAAACTATCGGCAAAGTTAGACCAGGTGGTAAAGCGTACGGTAGTATTTGAGTTACTCAATCGGGGTCAATTAAGAGCCGTGGTTGGTCGGTCAAGGCAGGGTAAACACTAACGTATGGCGTTTTTGGTTACAAAAAGTTAGTTGGTGTATTCAAATGGCGGTCGCCTCCGCCGTTGAGAGTGCGTTTTGTTTAAAGGCCTTAAAACAATTCGGTTCTACTGGATACATCACACTGAACGAGTCAGGCAGGCTGATCCAATATTCGTACCGGTACGGTGAGCTGCAATCGCGCACGTTCCATGTTTCACTTATCCAGTCCCGGTGCGCTAGGGCGTTCCTCGGTAGTTATTTGATATAGGTGTCGTGATATCTGACCGACAAACCTTACGGAACACTTGAAAACGAATGTATGTATTACTATAAAGCACCGGCACCTTACCACTGATTTTTGGTACTGAGCAACCGATCCTCAACGGGATGGCATTGGATGTTCTTCAGATTGAACACGGTAGCTCCCGTCAGATAGTTTCAGGAGGAGACCTTCTGTCTTCTGTTTTGAGTGTTCTGTCACAAACTTATCCGGCGTCCCTCTGTTTACAACGGTTCTCGCCATCTACGTCGGTTCTACTGTAATGCGAACCCCATTTGCCAAACAATTAACAAGACCTAGCTTGTACTTTTATCTACAAAGATGTAGAAATGTGTGCACTAGCCAGACAACTCTGATTCCCGGTAGACCCGTAGCCGAAACATTCTGTCTTGTGGCTGGATTAATTCAACATCAAGAATGAGGAAGATTTCTTTTCGGGTGCATAACTTTATCCAAAACATGGAGATATTTAGTCATCCTAAATATTACTTGCTAATCTCACTGTCTCGATAAGAGGGTCTGAAGCCCCTTTTGGAATCATGACATACTGCATTCTGTTATAATGAGATTAATAGTATTTATGCGTAAAGACGCGGCCCACGCTTGTAAAGTTGGCTTCTAACGTCTACTTAAGGAGCACATATTTCCCACTAACAAACTGCCTGTTTAATAGTCACTAGAGCATGTTTTACTGTACTGCCTCGGTGTAAGGAGATTTGGGAAGTATAATAGATATTTCGTCCTGTGAGTGAAGCCAATCTAGGCTGAAAAGTCGAGAAGCACTAGAAAGAAAAAAAAGAAAGCGTTCAGCTGTAGCACCCTTCCGGTGCCTAGCTGCCATGCCACCCGAAGGAAGCAAGAGGGCTAGGATACTGCCAGGTTGCCCAAGCCTAGAAAGGGAAGTCGAGTGGCGGAGGTCGGATTCGCGCTCTAACCACTTGGGCCATCTCGCCCGAGAAACACTAGGCAGTTGTTTAATTATTATTGCATCAGTTGCGGCGTCAAAAAAACACACCACTGGGTCCAGAGTGTCACGTGTATTAGGATACAGTAAGGGACGTGTTGTTGTATGCCTGCGAGACGCGTCCTGTGAGTGAAGCCAATCTAGGCTGAATAGTCGAGAAGCACTAGGCAGTTGTTTAATTCTTATTGTGTCACTTGCGGCGTCAAAAAAGCACACCACTGGGTCTAAAGTGTCACGTGTATTGGGCTTCAGTAAGGGATGTGTTGTTGTATGACTGCGAGACGCGGCCTCTGCGGACAGACGATGTGAGGCGTCTTCAGGTTTTTGCCCATCGATACCTCAAAATCGTTGCCTATTTTGGATAACGTCAACGGATAAGTAACGAGGTGGTTAGAAAACGAGCATCTGGTTGTGTAGTAGACACTATCAGCTTCGATGGCTCGACCATCGTTCTACGCATACCGAAACACCGTCTACCGAGACAAGCGTTGTTCTCCGTGTCTCCTTCAGAATGGCGCAAACCGCGGGGCGGACAACGTTTGACTTGGCAAAAGGGCGTGAAATAGATTACAGAGTTTGGGTGTTGTTGGTGTTGTATGCCTTCCAGAATGGGATCCCCGTGACACCGTCTGTGTTTGGCTGGAGACATTACCAGAAATGGTGGTTGATCGATTCCAGTGGCGCTCATGCTGTCAGTTTCTTTCCAGATTGTTTGACTGAACGCATGGAGGTGTAGGTACCCCAGAATGCTTGACACAGGTCAGTACTAGGTCCCCTTCCTCACCAACTCTTTCTCTTCTTTTCAGTCTGGATAAACTTTGTGGTTGTAGGACAGTGAAGCATCAGTGTCAACTCAGATGTTTCTGTCTCTGATGACTGTGATGGGAATAATCAACAGGCGCATCTCACAAAACCCAGGGAAGTCGAAAACCCACAGCCTTCTAGCCAGTCGTTTCAATACTTAACCGTTCGGCCATGAAAACCTGTTGACCTAGTTAACTCAGCTGGAAAATGGTCCTAAATTCAAAACTACAGAAATGTTGTCACTATTCGATATACGTTGAGCTTTACCAAACACCGAAATAAACAAGATCGAACTTAGCTTTCGTCTTTCCACCCACTGATCGTGTGATAGTTTCGTATGCTCATGTGTCAGTAGGTGGACTCAGTAATTACTAAGCCAAACGCTGCAAGAGAAGGGATACAAGAAGAGGCCCTTTCACATTTACGAATATATTTTTGACATTCCCGTAGTTTTTTTTCACTATATGGCCAAATGCAACATAAGTACCGTTACTGAAGAACCGCGTGTTGCGAAATACAGTGATGGAACTGTGACCTAAGGTCATATTGCAACACACGACTTCAGTCTGGTCTCGCGAAACGGATAAAGGCTTAGGCATACCACGCCTTAAACTAGTTAAACGCCTAGCAGAAACAGACAGTGCACAAACGATTACTCAGTAAGTTGATCTCCAGAATCATCGTGCAAGATTTTTTGGGTTCCTGTCACCAGTCAATATCCGCTTTAGATCTCGACACAGTTTATACTATATTAATAAATTCGAAAGCGGTCTAGGGCCTTGTTGGGTTGGTTTGAGAAATCTACTTCCGAACAAGCGAATCCGCAGATAACCTGAACAGGCACTAGACACCTCACCGAGTGACTAGGGCATTCGCTTTGAAACGACAGCAATAGCTTCCAATGAAGATTTACGAAACCCAGTACGAGTTGCGATTTACGAAATTAGTGATAGAGCACAGAGCTGTTTAGCAAAAATAGCTAGTCCAGTTTCACATTTTTTTCGCAATTGGCAACAATCTGGGAAATCGATTTCACAAAATAAAGGCAACAACTTCGCGGAAGGCTTGTCTCCAGAAGAGACAGAAATAATTTCTCCCGCGTGATGGTCTATTCTGAAGAATTCCTGTGGAACGCAACTCAGTGAAATCCGAAACAGCCGTAGAATGAACAGGTGTAGATGGGACCTGGAATTTCCGACAGAGATATCAGTCCGCAATTGAAATCACTCCATGTTCAAGAAGCCGAGAAACGCTGAACACCTGTAACATCACGGTTTGGAATAACCAAGAACAGGCACCTCGAGAATCCCTGAGATTTGATTCCGCAACCGTTCGATTCGTCACTGAACACAATAGAATTCGGCCACGAGTGCGGTTAACTTCCATTTAGATAGGACACAAAGTCAGATCCTCCACTCGAATAGCCGCTGTCAAGTGATCCAGTGTTGATCGGCCTCTCGGATCGCATCGTTTCTATCAGTACTTGTGAATACAAGCCGACGATGCAACGGGTTAACTTATAAAAGAGAGTTGTGGCACCACCTACGACTCGTTCAGTGTGTAAGTGGAGGACAATCAGAATGAAATTAAATACAAAATTCGCTTACAGATTCACTAGATCATTGTAAGTACGTAACAGTCAGTGAGGAATAGGACATTTGGTAAGCAAACTAATAAGCAAACTAGTACAGATTTCGTCATTTTTCGGAGATGTGCCACTTGACCTAAATAGGGTGTTTTTCGCGAATTAACCGGGAAACATGCCCAAGAATAGTTGCCATTCAAGCCTCCGATACATCCGAAAAGTTCCCGCCACTCACCTTCTTCACATTCCTCTGTTTCCCAATGCTGTGAAGATAGGCAGTGAACGAGCGGCGATGATTCGAAGAACAGGCTGAGCGTTGGTGCTGTTGTTGTAGTTGATGAGCGGCGAACAGCACCCCGAGCAACAGGCCTAACAATAACAAGACGACCAGTGCGGACAGTCCGATTGCGAGCCAAGATGAGGACCAAAACCAATCGAAGGCAGAAGGATGGGATTTGGGACGCATGGACCACTTGTGCTGTGCTGGGATGCTAGCACCAGTTGACTGGACTGAAAGAACTGGGCGCAAGTAGTCGAAATCCCGTCGGTGCATTGTAGCAGCCACGAATTGAGCGGCTTTGTCTACGTGAGCGAAGCAATTTCCACCTGGATATGAAGATATAAAGTGTTCATGCAGAAACATGGCTTTCCCTTAAGTTGTGTTTGTTTTAGTCAACGATTATGACTCGAGTTGATGCGAATAACATTCAGTTTCTGAAGATTATCGTAGTGAGCAACATGTAGATTACAATTAATCGTCTTTTGCTTCTCTGCCACTTTGCTGATACTCTGAAGTCAAAGTAAATTCGAACCACTAACAATTACATCGATCGAGGGTGTCTTAACTGACTGAAAGACGCCGCTCGTCAGAAGATGATAAAAAATCGAGTTTTAGTGTTAGACTATCTACGATACTGCTGCAAAAGATGGATCTCATAATAAGATCAAAACGTGAAATTTACCTCTCTGATGACAAGACGTTGCGTCCAGCCGCAGGTAGATCTGACTCCCTATGATATCTTTTTTTGTCCGATAAACAGGAACTTGCCGCTTTGCATGTCTGCGGTACCGTTGAGACGAAGCGGAAACTCTGCCCGGAGCGACAGTAGATTTTCGATCGATTACATGCTTACCGAGGACCGTCGTTTGATTTTCGAACGTTGTTATATGCACTGGAAAGATTGGGGGCTGTTGTTCAGTAGAAGGCCAGTCTAAATGAACATCCAGTCTGAGAAGTTCGCCCAATCCAGAGAGAAGTCGACTGAGAAGAGGGGTCTCAATGCGTTTAGATGTATTCACCAATAAGTCATCCGGTTTAGCGTCAACAAGTAAAACCAAACTGCCTTCAAGAGGCTCGGTGTTGGTAGGCGACACCAAACTGGCTTCTGGCGAGGGGGAGGACATGTTGCAAATACACGAATCACTGTCAAGGTCTACCAAACAGTTCATGGGACAGTCAGTTCGGACGTTTTTCTGTGTAAGCAAACAGGGTAAAGATGGGATGTGGGATAAAAAGCAATTGTGTGTACTTCATCTTCACATTTGATTATCAAATATGGCTTTGGTACTGCGCAGTTGTAGATAGTGCAAAGGTAACTTAAAGCAATACTGCAGTATTCCAAACAAACACTAACGCACCGGTGCGCACCATTATGCTCCCCAATAACGCACTGATGATGTACCTCGATTGGGGGGGAGGACATGTTGCAAATACACGAATCACTGTCAAGGTCTACCAAACAGTTCATGGGACAGTCAGTTCGGACGTTTTTCTGTGTAAGCAAACAGGGTAAAGATGGGATGTGGGATAAAAAGCAATTGTGTGTACTTCATCATCACATTTGATTATCAGATATGGCTTTGGTACTGCGCAGTTGTAGATAGTGCAAAGGTAACTTAAAGCAATACTGCAGTATTCCAAACAAACACTAACGCACCGGTGCGCACCATTATGCTCCCCAATAACGCACTGATGATGTCACCTCGATTGGTGATGAAATGTTTGCAATCAAACTGCCCAGCTCAATGAACAAGCCAACGACCATCAAACATGATATTCACACTCGCAAAAGGCAACAAAATGAAGAAACATAGACGGGGGCGTCATGTGTTTTAGGTACATGTGCGCATTTCCGTCGTAAGCACTGAGTTTCTCAAGAGTGAAGTAGAAAACCACGTTGAATAACGTCTAAAAAGGATAAATCTGATCAATTATTTTAGTTTCTTTGGATGACAAACACATTCAATCAAATGTACGGCACTGGACATACCTGTATTGGAGTGACCGCATACTGCTCACAGTCCCATCCATCAAATAAGCATGATTCGTCTCTACACTCCTCGTCACAAACACCGTCGTCAAATTTTAAGGCACATGTAACACCAGTATGATTAACCGGAGAACACTGTGCCCATGGTTTGGCTGGCTGCGGTGTCAAAGCTTCATCAGCATTGAGTTCCCCGAGTGTTGGACCAGCGCCTTCCCCCAGAAACGTTGAATAGAAATAACTAATCGGTTTCAGAGGCTCCAGGATAGCGAATAGACACTCATGCCCGTCGAAGCCACACTCTCCAATATTGCACTCAGTGTCACATCGACCGTTGTTGGCCTTTTCAGTACAGTTGAACACTAGACACGGATCGATATTCTGGCTATCATATTCCACTGGAATAGTGAAATTGTGCGAAGGACTGGTTGTGGTGCATAGCTCAGCCTCAAGTTCACATCGTTCTCCACAATATCCTGCAAGGTTGAAATTGACGTCCTGATAATTGAAGTCAGTGATGGTTAAAAAAAATCTCTTTTACTCCTCGATAACGTACACCTTCGATTATATTTATTCCACTGTACGTTTAAACGACTACTGAGTCCGCGAAGTAGTCGCTGAACCTGCCTGAAACATACGATGAACGGAATAGTTCTTTGTCCGTTTTCGATGAACGATTTACGCTAAGATATAGTGTTTTAAACGTTTCACTCCTTTTACGACCAAAGTTAGTGTAGTCATCGGATGCTGTGAACGGAATCCTCATTTGTAAACGAAAACAATACGGTTGTCAACTGAATGTGAGACTGACGTATGGCATGTGACCACAGGTAGAATAAACATCATCGCCAAACATTGAAATCGTTCTGGGTTTCAACTTGCGGTACCGCATTTGACAAGAATAGAAACATGTCCATTCAGAAAATGTACTTATCCGGTTCCGATTTCTGATTAAAAATAAATGGGGATCCTGGATAACAGTATTTCAATTTTAGCAGCAAAAAACAGAAGGAAAAAAGAACCTCATATTTTACAAGGGTGATCAACCAACAGGGCTCCTCTACAGTGCGTTTTCCTCCGACGCTCCCCGAACCAAAGTGTTCATCAAACCACACATTCCGGATGAGGGCGGTTAACCATGTATGAAGTCCAACTAAACTGACATTCTTGTAGGAGTACTCGTAAGTTTTCTGAAAACCGTAAACGGAATATTAATCTGAGTCTCCTGTTAAGACCAAATGAGGTTGCAAATGAGCTACTTTGGAAAGCGACATTCTACTTTAAACACTCACCACAACCACATACGGTGCATTTTTTGACTGGTGAAGTGGTACAATTATACTGGAGTCGCATTTCAGTCGGGCGCCGTTTCACTGTGTTTGGTATCACGCTTATGTGATAGGGTTACTGGTTATACTAATTACGAGCAAGCGACCCCACACTGATTGCCGACACTCTAAGGGCGCTAAAAGAAAAAAAGTATGTGCACACGATTGACACCATATTGCGAGACATGAGGTCGACAACCCCGTAGTCCACAGCATAGTGCGGCGAACAGATGATGGCTTTGGTCGTGGAATCGTAGGACTGACTGCATTCACCGAAATGGGATCCACGGAATGAGTTCGCAAGAGGATATTATCACTAAAATTTATGTTATTCAGATGCAGCACATTCGGTTCACCTGGCAGAGAAGACCTATGTGGGGATGATGTGGTTTGCCCAATTACAAAACTTCATCTTGAAACTCAAAGCGCCTGCAAGTAGATTCCCACACAACAAGTCCTTCTGAGCATTCTACTTATATGTACATGACGGTCGAAGGACCTCTGTAAATAAAGAAGCGGTATTATTCCGGTTGAAAAATGAGGGTGATACTCCTATAAAGCACCGACCATTAAAGAAGGCGCGATGTCCATTGAGCGACTGCGGCCGTTTGCTCTAGATCACGCAACTAAGGCGCTTCCAGCAGTGGCATTCGCTCTGGAACAACCCAAATAAACGCGGTGTTTCTCTAGAATCCCTTGGAAACCCAAGATGATATGTCTCTAATCCATTAACCGTTGAAATAATAGGGCGTGAAGCCATAACTTGATGTCATATCCTACTTAACATCGAGTAACACATAGAAACTGATATAAAAGTGTTTTATTTCCATCAGAACAGACGTAATCTGCACCTCGAAGTGAATAAACTTGTGCGCAAAGTGAAGAAGGACCTGCGCTCGCTGACGTGAGGGTATTAAGAGAGACTATCAGTGGATAGCAACGCCTAAGCGTTTTCAACTACCCTGTATGCAAGATTGCTTGTCTAGCACACAAGCGTATTTCCAACCATTACCCGCTGTTCTTCATGACCAAACGTAGTCCGATTCAAAGAATTTTCCTGACCGAACATACTACTGAAAAGGTTGCGAAAAACTCTTCGACAGCCCGGTTTGGTCATTTTTGGGGCTTATCAGGTGGACACAGTCCCCAACCTTCCGTCACTCTCCGTTCGACTTGCATCCAAATTGAAGGAATCCTCGACATTATGCACTTTACGACTCTCAAAGCATCATAACCTTCGGATGGGAGCTAGCAGGTGAGGTACAGGTGACTGTTTAGCAAGCTGTTCAAATTACACTTGAATTATTTGTAACAACACTCATCCAACGACTAAGTAATTCGCAAGTCCTGATGTATCGTTTGAGTGTCCTTTGAGTGACGACCCCCTTCAGAAGGGCCGTAGCGATGGCTTGGTAAATAATGCACATATATTGCACATATATTGTACTTGGAATAAAGACTTTGATGTGGATTCGGTTTTCTACATTAAAGTATATTGAAAGACCGTCAGGCACACAGCGGTTGTTCAGATTTTCCTTGGAATAATCAACAGCATGATTCCTATGAATACGAGGACAATTGACTGAGAAGAAACTGAACATTGGACATTGTTCGGCAGGCGGTAGACCGCCTGTGCGGTTTGGGCGGGAAATAAGGTGAGTTGACTTCAGCAGCACGAGCCCAAATTATACGGCAATAAATTATTGCTTTTACCCTGATCCAATTTCGGTACTGTCATTGCTAAGGATGGGTAGTCATGCGAGAAAGTAATCTGAAGAGACACTGTTCAGTGAACTACAAGGTTCGCGGCACGCATCTGTCCTGATACGGAAGAGTTTCCTCGAACCCAGTATGCGTAAACATTCGAAACAGCGATGACCAGCTGCCTAAACTTAAGAATTAGGGTGGCGTTCATACATTAGCTGAAGGGTTGTGGGTTCGGAGGCCAGTCGACTGAGCATAAATATGGCTGTGGGATATCCGACTGGGGCAGAGATGGATGTTACTGCTGTAGGCCTCTTCGCAGCTTACGCTAAGACTGACTTCAAAAAGGAAATTTCATCCTCAATAAATGAATACTTTGGTTAAACCCGGTTAAACCCGGTTAAACCAGGACATTAATTCCCCAATGAATACTTTGGTTAAACCCGGTTAAACCAGGACAATAATTCCCCGAAGGCTTTCGATGCCACTATCTCGACCATAAACTGGCAGTTCCGATGCCTCAACTGGAGACACATAATCACAAGCCCCGTTCGTGTGGGTTTCAGTCTTCAAACAGGCGAGACGAAATTCGAAAATACACTCATCATCGTAGCTCGGCATTCCGCCAAAATAAATCACACAAGCGACGAATTAATAGGCCGGTAGTAAAGCCGCACATATCCCCGTACACATACACACACACACACCGATGCACAGGTACACACGATTTCTGTACACACGCGGAAGAAACACAATAGTCGTTGGTATGGCTGTTCTGCTAATTCGGTCATTTATCAAAAGTACGTAACTAACGTACTCACGGTGTAGCTCCCCTTGAACACACCCATACAGGCACACTCATCGGGTTTTTTTTGTGAAACAACCTAACAGATAGTCAGATTTAAGGGTTTCGTGTATTTTCATGACGCTGGCCCAGTAAGGATGCAGGGCTCGATGTAAGCGCATGCGGAGAAAGATGTCCAGTAAGCTTTGCCAGCACAAAGCAAGGTGATCTACATCATGTGCGCGTCGTTATTCCAAGCATGCGGGGGGGGGAGGGGGAGGAAATTCGTCGAGAGTAAGCTTACTGAAGAACCTGACAACATGCTGGCTCCCTTTGACTGCCCGACTGACCAACTACCGACAGTTGGACGGTACTCGTGTGAATGGGTGGATGGAACTCACGCCACTAACAGCTCAGAAACAACAATACGAGTAAGTGATTCGACAACTGACGCATGCCCAACTATTCTATCAGCCCATTCCGTCCCACTTCACCCACCCCTACCCATTCACCCATCCACCCCCCCCATACACACACAGAATAATTCGGTGCATTTGTTTCAGAAGATGACAACTCTTGTGGCCAAATAGCAATTTACCGCCCCATGTTTCTTTCCCAACCGACATTCGTCAGCCACTGGTTACTCGGCACTTGCAGTTTGAAAGGGTCAACCGCCAAAAGAGCGAAGTGTGCTTTCACTGGAACAATTGACCCAAGGCGATGGGGTGCAACATGTGTTTGCTTGCTCTAGAGAAGAATGATGAATCTGTTTTCAAAAGCTTGCCGCGGTTGTCCAGGTGAGAGTTTTGTTTTGCTCCAAAAATGTAATTTTTTTACACAGAACTGGGAACATTGCTCGCGTTTCCGGGTGTGGAGGGGGGTAGTCATGGTAAGTTTCAACATGCATGTTACAGAATTTTCACAAACCCGAAACGTTTTAAAACCAGTTCCCAGGAGACAAGGGGTATCAGTGGCGAAAGGTTGGCTGTATACGGTGAGAGTTGGTAGCAGGATTCTCACGAATAAATGGGTTTCAACGGGGATTTTCAAAACAGGCTGCAGAGAATGTGTTTCGCATCACTTGGACTAAGGTTGGATGATTCCGGACTGCATGTTCTTTCCAGCAACTGAAGTGAAATCCGTCCTTCAGGAGTAAAACGCCTAACAAATGCTGGAATGCTGAGAAACCTAGTAAACCGTGTGAAAACTCGTGTGCAGAGTGGACAAAAGTCACATCCCACTGGCAGGATAGGCCAACTGAATATGTTCCACAAAGGTCCCAAACGAGAGATCTAATTGGGATTCGGTTGAGCCCACGTTAACACCAAATGAGGTTGATGAAAACTCATGGACTGTGACTAAATAAGGAGGATTAGGAAGGGAGAAACCGGTCATGGTTTGCTGAGGGGCTTTAAGCAACCTCACCAGCAGTGTGTTCCGTAAAATAAAGTTAATTCGAACTTGATTTGACCGGAAACGGTGGGAGGGATGTCAATGAAAAACAACGAATTTGGACGAAATGCGTGTACCATCGGTCTGCTTTGCATCCCACCTACCTAATCCTATGCTCGACAATACGATGTACGATGAACAAAGTCGGGTGATGCCACTCGAATTGTTTCGCATGAACTGAAAGCCTACCACGCAGGACTGTGTGAGGGACCGAATAGAGATTGGTTCAATTAGGAATCACTAGTATTTTCGCGAGATTCAGACGTGAGAAACTCCCCAAAGACAGATTAACAATGTCATGGACATTGTTAGCTAAGTGAGACTGATTTGCTAGTTCGACATGAAAATCATGCTCCCCACCCTCTCAGTTGGTCGCCTGACGAATAATTTATTAGTTTTTCGGTGGACTGAGGAAGTCTGGAAAACAGTAATATGGGCAGAAAGTCACAGTTCCTGAAAGGTTCTGTTGAACAAAAACCGATTATCAGTAAGTCCTATTCGCGTAATTTATGATCAGTACGAAGAATTGATACACTCACCTGGTGGACAATTGCACGTCGAATTGCCATCGATCACGATACACGATGCATTGTGTTCGCATGCTAGTGGTATCGTCCCCAAGCAAGCGGTGTCCGACTTTACTTCACAGTGCAGGCCTGCTCGCCCTGGAGGACACAGGCAAACGTATGGTGCATACAAAGGAGTCTGGTGTGAACCGAGCAGCTCAGACATCCACGGTCCGTTGGGATGACAAGTCCCACCAAATCGACACGGATTGACTACACAACGTTCATCGAAGTACTGACAACGCGGTCCACCGAAGCCAGGGCTGCAGTGACAAATGACCATGACGGTTCTCTGGACAGTACCAACCGAGACTACGGTATCTATCCGATTCTCGCACACACCCCCGTTTTGACAATAACCCTGAAAAACAATTAGTTGAATACATATGCTGTTCATGGAGAAACGTGTATCCAAGGTAAAGTGCAATATTCATCTTATCAAAAGTCTCAGAAGTCATACTCATCATCAGTGAAAAGATTTCTAGGGTAGAAGTGCTTCGTGCTTCCCAGTTGAACTACATCACCATTAGAAAACGCAGAATGGATGCTGTCTTGTGGAGACCTATAAGGAAAGGAGACAGAAATTGCTTTCAAAATTGAACACTCGAAGGGGTTTGTCCGTACTTTGTGTTCACGATTGTTTACTAACTGATTTCTTAAATCGGCATGAATTTCAATGACTGCCTTCCTCAAGCATAGAATGACTAATGCAAGACATACATCCAACAGAAAGGCAACCCATATAGAACTAATGGTTTGTTCCAGACGAGATCCTCAGATAATGAATGACAACGTTGATTGGTTAGTGTCTCAAACTATGCATCTTCACCAACCAACCCCAAGGAAACGGTGCGGCACTATTAAAAAAAGATAGCTCAAACCATGAGCATTTCTGCGACCCCTCAAGAGCTTATCACCGCATGAGATCCCCACAGGGCCTGAGAACATTGCTCACGCACGGAAAACACAAGGCACAATGTTTTGCGACTGACTTTTACGCACGTGTGATCGCCAGTCACATGCACCATCACTAGAGGATAGGTGCACGAATCAGCGAATAACTAACGGACGAACAATTCCAGGTTACGACAGGTTCACTAAATGTGATAGAAGCAGCTGACGTCTAGCATCGTAGGTGTGTGAGTGAGTGTCAAGTCACATCAGCAGATAAGGAGTGTGAGAGCTCATCACTGAGCTCACCCCATGAGATTCGGATATTTCTGGCACATACCAAACAAGAATATTTTGTACAGATCTGTCACGCTCCCTCAAAATCTACAGACGGGTTTTCACGTAAAAGGTTTTGTGGATATTCTTTATGACGTTCTGTCTGTGTAGTTATCTACGGACGACGAGTATGATCAAAACGCATGCGTCCATTAAGATGTCCTCTCTCTCTCCTTCTCTGTTTTAGTTAAATCGATGCAGTAATTTCAATGTTTTGAATTCTTTTTAGGAAATTCCAAACTTACGGTTTAGATCTTGGTCGAATGAGAAATCAACCTAGTCAAAGAAGAAACGAGCACTGGCCTTCCAACCTAGGAACCAGAAATAAGATGTCAATAACTAGAGATGTTGGTCAACGTTTTTTTGACGTCAACAACGCAATCGAGCTCCCATTAACAGGGAGCGCGGTCAAATCAACCCAGACTAATAAAATTGTGTATTGCATCTTAGGGCACAAGGTCTACTGTCCACACAATTCACTGTCAAGGAAAACGTTTTGTTCGCACACGTGAAGTCCTGTGGTCGCAAGTGGACGCACAGACACAGTTCGACACAAACAAGCGAACTACAGTTCGTTCTGCCATACTCAGCCTGAAGTCGCGACTTTGGTAACCTCAACCCCTCTGTTTGAACTGTTTGTTTAACTAGCAGCGTTATTCTGCTCGTGTTCTAATTTCTCCACCGTTTTATCGTATATGTAATCGTCCGAACCTTGGGTAAGATATAACCAAACGAGACGTTTTAGAAGTATTACGTTCGTCAAACAGTACATCTCCTGTTTCCACATGGAGATTTTTTTTAAAAAAATGACCACAAAGCCAAATAACTTTGATCCCGATTTTCAAATGTTCCTTGCACGGAGATGGTTCATGTTGCAAATGACCGGTACATCGATGAATCTGCTGTCTGAACAGGCTCTATATACTATAGTTGATGGAAAAGGACTCGGCCGATTTTCTGACAGTTCGCCTGGGTGATAGGGATCTAGAGTGACCACTCGAGAGGGCTGGCTGAAGAAATCAGGACCAGCTTGTGCTCCATATGCTTTCTTGTTGCAGAACCTACATCAATCAACCACACCGTTATTCGCCAATTAGGAAACTCAGAATGAGACAATCTTGAGAAGGGATGATCTCCAAGAATTTACAACCTGTGAAAAGCTATCTAGTTGTTAGAATCAGGTATGTTTTTTGAAGAAAACTACTCAGGTTGTTGAGTAATCTTTGACAGCCCAGGGCCGGTTTCGCGCTAAGCTTATCTTATCAGGTAGACACAGTCCCTGAGTTTCAGTCGACGTTGTGTCTTCCCTGAACGAAATACGCCGTTGTACACACCAATATGCTTTTAACACGAGGTTCAGCTGAATTCAGTTGAGTCACCAGTTCAAAGCGATTGTGTTTACCCTTGATGCAACAAGAAATGCGGATTTATATGACAGTACCTCATTACATACGCGTCCTTCGGTGCACACTGAAAGGAAGATTTAGTTGATATAGGTTTGTCGGTTGAATTTTCGTCCTCTTATTGTAGTGTCAGGTATATCAATGGTGATTATCCTCTGTGATTTTTAGCCAATATCCGACAAATTCCATCAAGTAAATAACAACATCCGAAACCAACATACCTTATGCACTAAACGTCGCATTCTGTAGGTGGATTGGAATGCAATTATCAGCCGCTTATATCGCAAAAGGATGCAAGTCAGAAAACGACATCATCACAACGGTGTAACCCCCCATCCCAAAGAGTTGTGAATGGGGTATTATGGATCCTTCTGGGGATAACTTCCCTTTGAGCGTAACCCGAAGGATTGAACATCAACATACCAGATGGAGGAAAAGTTGTGCAAACCTCAAAGCAGAATGCAATCAATTTGATAGCTTGAATAGCGTCTATTATCGTCATCTGTAGTTTACTGCTGGTTTGGGAATCCGTATTAAAGTACGCATATCGGAATCAAGCTTCATTTTAGTATAAGAACTGTGATTAGAACCGCTAGCTTCAGAAATGATCGAGATGAGCTACTCGAGAATTAGCTTCCGTTTGGGTTACAATTAGTATCAACCTCATACTGTTTTCAGTACCAGCCTTACCCATTACTCTAGACATGATGTCATCAACAGGCTTTGACAGAAATTTTAATGCATTTGAGCTGTACACGGATTTGGAATGTAGACTGTACATCAAACAGTTAATCATAGGTGACAGGACAGAACTGAACTGGATTCAGTAAATCCGCTAAGGAATGTTAGACAAGGGGGCATTTGTTGACGAATCATAAGTACCAAACAAGTTTTATCAGATTAAGGTGGTTTGGACAAGTAGTGCAGGCCTGACCATCGTCCACCAAAGAGGGTTATGTCCCATTCCAAACACCTGCTGAGCAAAAGTTCCCTGGGAACGGGCTACGATGCGTCAAATACTACTTACGGCAGATACTATCAAACAATGTGCTGTGAGCCTTTCAGCCCCTCCTAGGGGAGGCATGTTGCATGGTAGAAATTCTACAGGGTAATATATGTAACCAACCCCAGTGGCAAACACGCTTTTCTGCCATTTGCCTGTTGTTGCGTGATGGGCTTGTGTCGCATGAGATTCCTAAGGCAAGCTGCTGATCGTGTCCAACTACGTGATGTTCAGATGTGTCCAGTTCAATGTTGATCAGAAGTACAGACAACCAGTGATGCATCGTTACGCTACAACCCGTTCCCCAACAGCACACTGATGATGTCACCTCGGATGGTGATGAAGCATTTGAAACAAACTTGTCCAACTAAGAGAGCAAACCAACAACCATGGACACCTTTCACCAAAACAAGGCGCTTCAACTCAAAGCCCCACTATCCCCCTGTCTCTTCACCCCACCAAAACATCCTTATCCCGTTATTTTATGGCACTTGGGTCACAGTATTTACCACCAGTAGTTCGTTTATCACTACTGACACAGAAGACGTTGTGTGCTGTATAGACATTCGTTGTAATCATAGAATTATTGCTTACGTCCTGATCACGAAACCGAAGGAATATCACTAGAATATATGGACCTTGCAAGGTAAGTAGCATCGTTAGGATAGTGATTGTGAATAGGAATATGCTCAGCCAATTTAACCAGGTCTTGAAGAATCAAACAGTCATTAACACTTTGGCTTGCGATCTGGACTTACCTAATTCAAAACTCGAGTTCGTCTGTTATGAGATTTTTGCTCTTTTTTCCAAGGATAATGGGATACATGCTACCTCATCAGTGAAGCAACTGTTCGGCGATTAAAATTGTGGACTTCTTAAGGAGGTACAGATGCCCTCTCCAAGAACTCAAGAGCTGTTCGACAGCGCGCTACCAGTTTCGTTCTGGTTGCGCTTCGCCAGGTAGGTTTATTCCCAGAGTTTTCACCACTATTATGCTTTACCTGAACACCAAATTGCACATAACTCATTTGAAAAATATCATAAACGCGAAATTCAGCTGTGATTCAGTTGGGACTCTCACTAGTGCGTACATGAGTTGCACATGGGTGTATTTTATCGATTAGTTTCGCTATGACTTCAACTAGGTGCTCGGCAAAGGTGTGCCAATGACTCTTGGTATCAAGAGCATTGGCCCTTCATAAGCTTACCCTAACCTGGGAAAAACTGCCAGCTAGTTCATTTGGAACCATTTATGAAACAGAGTTTTTTTAGAACTTGGAACTTACCTCAGAAAATGCACCCTCGGCGAGCCGGCATAAATCCTTTGGTTGGTCACAGAAACGACCCCCGTAACCGACGCGACATATGCAAGAAAAGTTTCCCGGGTGGGGTACACATTGCACTGTACCAGCAGGGTGGCACAGACCAAGAAACGATTCATATGCTTTCGTATCCGCATTTCTAGCTGGACTTGCAGTGACAGAATGGGCGGCTGCTTGGATTGCACGAAGAACAAGATTCTGTTGCACGGAGCTCAGCAGTTCCCACGTTAGCCGATGAGCAGCCTGATAACGGAACACCACTTCGCGTTGAAGAGGTGATAGATTTGATGACTGAACAGGCTCTGGTTCCAGTCTACATAAATTTAAATGAATCTCACAGTGTGAACCCGTAAAACCAAACGCGCATCGACAAAAACCCGATTCTCCGTTCCGAAGTATCCATTCCCCACCGTTTAGACACTGAAATAGAAAAATAACAGATTGAAACGTACGACCGCAAATTCCAAAATGGCTACGCTGCGCTTAAACATTCAACGGTGAGATTGGTGCTGGGTGATTGATACTCAATTAAACGCAATCTGAAGATATATAAGTAGTCAGCGTTGTAATTACTTACTAAAATAAATAATAATAGTTCCACTGTGACACCCTTGTGGTGTATAGCTACCTTGTAACTCGAAAGAAGAACGAGAGCGGAGGGACCTTCGGGTTACCAAAGCCTAGACAGAAGAATTTTAAAGATCGAGTTGGGTTCGAACCACGACTCTCCGGTCAGTAGTTCAGGGCCGTAACGGCTGAGCTTTCTCCAGCTCGACGTACCAGATTATGGTACAGATCAATAAGGACATGTGAAAACATCAGCGAGGGGAAAATAACGTCCTATCTGTTCAATTACACGGAACAATAAGGAACCATCTTAAACACGACGCCAGGGCAAGCAGTTTAGCTTAGCTCCATGAAACACGTCGTATAGATAGTCTGCTACGGCCGAGTAATTTCCCACTTTGTCATTCTCTACATGAATAGAAGTTGGGCTGCCTGATACAACGAACCCGCTAGTCAGACGTGATAGTCCTGACAAGCTTTTACAAATCGTAGTACCTGGGCTAGTTAAGCTTACAAGTCAGGGTGTCTTTGCGCACGCCGACCCTTAGGCGCAGTAGCTCTGTTTTTTTAGTGAATACCACACCAGTGCTGACTCTGGAAGACCTGGAGCAGAAGCCCTTCTGATATCCACTGTTGCTCATTCCTGTTGATTTCGTTCAAACACGAAGATGTTAAAAACCGATAATCGATACTGTTACTTCACAAAAGATATTCTCATGAGGATGACTGACATGAACGTTTCATGAAGGTAAGTCGGTTTGAGAAACAGAGCATTCCCATAACCAGACTACGTAGCACAATGACGCTCACGTTCACTTCTCCTTCCTCCCGAACGGGTTCCATTTATCCCGTTTGGTCAACTTGCTGTGGATAACATTCAGTTGTTTGTGCAAATGTCTACGCAGTCTCTACTATGAGACCTCATCAAGCCACTCGATCAACCTCCTGATACACCACATTTCGATACATCACGACGTCGATCGAGTACGTGGAAGGCACCACCAATAATGACATACCATTCTGAAGTGACCCGATTCCGGTCATAGCCTGAGACGGTTTCACAGATCTACCTTCGAGCGTTTAGATCTACTTTAATGCGTGGTTCACAAGGCCAACGCAATACAACGACAGGTCAGACTTGACTTTGCAGTACCATTTATGGAATGCACAGTAGATTGATTCTAGGTGCGTCAGGCACAGCGTCGTGGATTAGCAAGTCATATCCGACGAAAAGACGTAAGCGAAGCAGGTAATTGATTCATAGCACGACATTCTATTGTCCCACAGAACCAAGGTTGGTGAGAGTACAATGCATATCCGTGTGCTGATCTCACTTCCAGCTCAAAAGCTACACCCATTTGCATGCTTAGTTGGTGTCTGAGACGCGTACGTAGCATTTTACTACAATGTTGCCAACTGTTTTTCAGAGTGCTTCATCGATATCAAAACAGCAACGCACGCTGATCAAATTAAATCCAGTGTGTGGTGAATATACACAGCCAAATTCGGGTATCAAAATGAGTCTACTGATAACAATGTCAGTTCAACTCCGGCGAAAACTGAGGCAACTGAGTTTGGCTCTAATTTCACTGCACTATAGGGATTGCCATTACACTGGCTCTCCTACGATGTTCGTTTGCGATGGTAATTCTTGGACAGTCCGTTTGCATTTGGGACAAAAACACCTTTGTGCGAAATATGCCGTTTTTGGATGTGAAAAGTCGGTGCAAATTTGATCAGGTGATCCGCACGAACGATCAACTGTTAAATGCATATTACTCTATGTGGTAGCAGAACAACAGAACAGAACTTATTCACGGTACAGCAAGGCATCTGATGCAAGGCGACCGCGTTGGCAGTGTTGGCGCCAATCTGGCGTTTGTGTTTTGGTCCGAACACATTCATTCCGAATGAAGGCAGCTTCCTTCCAGATTCGATGAAGAAATGTGCAGACGTGCACGACCATGATTGGTACACAATCTTTGTAATGAATGTCAACTTACATACAGTGCACGTGGAACCAATCATGACCTGGATGCTAGTCAGGGACGATATTATGATCGGAAAAACATCAAAACTCACATGGTCGATGCAGGCTAACAGAAACCAAGGTGGATGTGATTAACCCGAAAAACAACAGAAAACATCGGACTGCTCGAGGGTCAACTGTGGTCATCTGGTGATAAACTTGTATGCCTACCACTACATGATGAGTTAAACTAACCAAAACAGATGAATCGTGGACAGCAACAACAGCAGTCTTTATTTATTGTTATGGGGCGGAAGCAAAACAGAATGAAACGAAGCAAGAACAAAAGTGGACGGTGTGTGGGGATCTTACCTGACCGGTACATGCGGCTGATGAGATACAATGAGCGCTGACGGTCGTCTGATTAGCAAATGTTTCACAATTTGACCCGATGAATCCATCAGGACATAGGCACATATATGCACCCGGGTGGTCCAAGCAGATGCCCCCATTCTGACATGGCCGATCAGAACAGTCATTGACTTCGACCTAGCCAGACGAAAGAGTACTTTCAGTCTTGACAAAAACGTAATGCAGTAAATCTCAGAATAACCCGATCAGAAGAAAGATCATTCCGCTAACCATATCATACCAGATAAAACCTCAATACCATCATCTAAAGACAGGCTATTCCTCTGGGGAGAGACCAAATACCCTTCGCACCCTCGTGCTAATTGCTGAAGAGATTATTGTACCATACAGCTAAAGTGGATAAGTTAAAAACTCCAATTCAGTGACCAACTTTGGGAAAAAGTATAAAAACATGCTTTCGAAAACTGTGTACTATGTACGGCACTAAAAGTGTTGGACATGCATGGTTGTTACAAAATCATGGTGACCTAGAACACATTTTTAGCGTAGAAATCTGTTGACCCAAATTGACAAACAGTCAAGTGACATACAGACACACGACGAAAGCTCCACGTACTGAGAAACAGGGTGGGCAGCAAGACATGATATAACCATGTAGAAGTAGGTATTTAGTCAGTTTGTATGGCCAGCAATTAGCTTTCAATCGTCCTACACCAACTGCCCAAGCAAAACATGAAAAAACATGCTGGACATCTCCTTTTCTAGCTTTTGCTACGATACACGGTTTGGGTACTAACCGAATGACATTGGTGCAAATGGACAAAACTTGTTACGACAACGGACACGACTATTTTGTCTACTGACGCTGAGGTGTCTGGAGGGTGTGATACACACTGGAACAGGGGGTGGCATAGGTATTCTGAAACATGTTTCTTGGTTTTTGAGTTGAACAATAGACCCATGTTATTCTTACAATCCTCCGCAATGGTAGGGAAACTTCAGTTGCTAACTAGTCACTGGAACAGGGGGTGGCATAGGTATTCTTGGGTTTTTGGTTTTTGGGTTGGACATGTTATTCTTACAATCCTCCGTAATGGTAGGGAAACTTCAGTTACTAACTAGCGAATGCAACACTTCCGTACTATTTCTGTAAAGAGCCTAGATACTCATCAACTCCCACCCTTGCTCGTGCGACAGCCCTTTATGGAGGGAGAACCACCTCAACGGTTGGTATTTGCACACTAGGGAGAACCACCTCAACGGTTGGTATTTGGGTTACTGCACACCTTAAAAAGCGACGGAACGGATATCACTGTTGTTCGAAAGACATGAGGTCATATTCGTACACAAACCCTGACAACGAGGCATCCAAGTCCACTTTCTCAATGAACAGAACGCAAGACGCAGCGCGTAACACTGCAGGTGGCAAGCTGAAACGAACGATTCATTCGTTGATTCGCTGATGACCGAACAAGCTTCGTGCCACGAAAATGACAGATTTTCAAATTCCAGTCCCACGGGAGAATTTCGCAATCAGAATGGCAACCTGATTTCGAGGACTTGTGAAATCATGTAATTAAAACAGAATGAGGTGGAAATTCGTATTCATCTGTATGACCACATGATTCTTTGACAGCTTGAAGGAAATCAAGGTTATTGAAAAATAATAACCATAGGGTTCCACGCATATACATATATATATTAGGGTTTTTAAATGAATGTACTTATAAAACGCACTAAAAAGTAGTGTGATTTGAGTTTTAAGGGTAACAACCAGTTGAATAAAGGTTCGTGTGATTGGATAGTTGGAAAAAATCACTTTGAGGAACAGCAACAGCATTTCAACTCCAAATTTGGTCAGTAGAATGCGGATTCTCGTCATGCAATGCTTTTCACTACTTCCCAGTAGGTCTTGATGGTGAACCAATAAATCTGAGTCAATGACATCCATCGGGATGTCTTCTAACGACCTGAGTATGTATTTTAGGGGCCGGAAATCTCTCCTTGGTTTTTTTCGGGAAGGTGTTTCTTTGAGGAGGGATTGCAGTGCGAAAAAATCTGTGCAAGTTTCCCTCTTCGTGATATTCTTTCGTGGAAGGATTCACCAGTAACTTGCGTTTGGTTGTGTTTAGTGTCTACGCATGACAGAAAAGATTCGCTATACCACTGAAAATGAAATCAGTCATCTCGCTGCCGGTATGTGATGGAACAAAGATCAGCTAGAATAAGGGACGTCGAGCTGTCGAGTGCTGACCAGTCCAGTGTACTTTTACAAATTTGTGTATAAGCTGCAGCGGTCCCGCAGTTTGCGAATAAGAATCTAGTCAGCTTCTTAACTGAAGAATTTCTGACAACAGAACTAACAGACGCTGGAATCATGAAGATATCCACAAGAAAATAATGGATGTGAATGCAGCCCGAATGAAGATGGTACATTTTAATCCCACATTAAGAAATATGAACATATCCCAACTGTGTCTTCTACAATCCGGCTTGAAGTGGGAAAACCTAGTATGATTTTTCATTTCCACACCTAGATGCTTTATGATGAATCACCACAGACGAAAAATCGAAAAAACTGCATAGCATTTCATATCGTATACCTGCGCATAAGCAACCTTATCACTTTTCGAGTATCTCAATAAGTATTTGAGTATTTTCGTATTATTGCAAAAAACTTTCCCGTAACTTTGTCTTCGACTACATTCGAATCCACTCAAGTCGGATTGTGCATCAGTACTGGTAAAACATCCATAGGTATCCTAAACATAGAACACTGGATTATTTCGATGAATATAAATCAAACGAAACAAGTAAATCCACAACCGGATACTGAAGAACCTCTAAGTGGGTTCACTGACAACAAGAACCTTCGGTAACTCATACCGACAGTTTGAAGGTCAAGTGTGCACCCAGATTGGTGGCATCACGTTCCCTTGATGACGTTTTACGGGCATCATCCACCAGGTGCACCCACCGACTTAATACACCACGTCTAGCACGGTATAAGCACATAATCGGTACCACTCATATGCTCACTCACTGATCAGAGGAACGTTTGGCTTCCGTCAGTGCTTGAATTAGGTTCTCCATTCCACTGTGGACGAGGAATGAAAAATCATTCCTTACGTTTCATATCCCAGCGTCCAGACGGTGTTTTGGTAGCATGGATTGATCAGAAAACGATGCGGACTGTATGCTACCTACGCTTACCCATTTTTATGGCATTGAAAAATGAACAGTCTCTGGTAAGAACTCAGTCCGATCGCACAAGCCGAATATGCTCAGAGGGCAGATTGTGAAACTCAGGTTCACAATATGAACTTTACTTCCGACTCATGGCCATGGGCAGACAAAGATAATAGCAAACAGTTACAAAGCAGCTTATCTCAGCTCATCGAAGAGGAGGATCGTACCCACTGCCAGTTAAGATGCTATTGCATATCTCCGTCGACTCGGACGACACCTACAGACCCACATGTGACTGCGAATCCAGTTATGCAAACCGAAGAGCTGGGTGCTTAAATGTTCAGTAAGTGGAGCATACACGGAAACGGATGGATGCAGAAAGCAACAAAATCACGTGTCGAACGGGAATTCATCAATTAGTAAACATATCGGTCAAGCTTGGAGGATCCACCCAGAATCGTCTTCCATAACTTACAAGTCACAGTTGCTTAACTTCACCAAATTTCTAAGCATTAATCACTCACTCTGCTTAAAGAGGCTGTAAGTACACGACANTATGCTACCTACGCTTACCCATTTTTATGACATTGAAAAATGAACAATCTCTGGTAAGGACTCAGTCAGATCGCACACGTCGAATATGCTCAGAGGGTGGTGCAGCGTGTGAAACTCACGTTCACAATATAAACTTTACTTCCGATTGGCTATCCGATGAGTACTGATCCAAAATGCCATGGGCTGACTCAGTCTCGAAGAAACAAATTCATGTTCAAAGATAACACTAAACAGCTACCTGTCTAGGCTTGGGCAATCTGGCAGCATGCCAGCCCTCGTGCTTCCTTCGGGTAGCATGGCAGCTGGGCACTGGGTGTTACAGCTGAGAGATTTCTTTGAACAGTTACGAAGCAGCTTATCTCAGCTCAACACACATGAGGGTCGTACCCACCGCCAGTTAAGATGCTATCGCATATCTCCGTCGACTCGGACGACATCTACAGACCCACATGCGAACCCAGTTATGCAAACCGTAGAGCTGGGTGCTTAAATGTTCAATAAATGGAGAATATACGGAAACGGATGGATGCAGAGAGCAACAAAATCACGTATTGAACGGGAATTGATCAATTAGCAAACGTATCACAGTTGCTTAAATTTACCAAAATTTTCAGCATTAATTGCGGACATCACTCACTCTGCTTAAAGAGGCTGTAAGTACACGACATCCCAGGACTCAAACTAAGCCGATCGTGTGCTTGTCTCAGGATGACTGCACACTTGATTTTGTGTTGTCTGTGTGTTGATCTCTCCCACTCTCTGTCCACGCTTATGTCCAATGAATTGAGCTTCTAATGCTTGGATAGTTCACTACCAGTTTCGCTATTCTTGAAACCCCGATTTTCCAAACGCTAGAAGAATGCTTGGTCTCTTGTCACATTTTATATTAGAAACTGAACAGCAAACACGGTAAGAGCTCATCTCACTCACAGTCTTGCCACCCTGAAACCCCGATCAAACGGCTGAAAGTCTCTCAACTGGCGCGATATTCTCTGTGGTAAACAGGGGCATGTTAAAATCAACGTCATCGGATCACTTCAGTTTCTCCATGATGAAAATGGCTTCTCGATTCCACTCGGTGAACCCAAACTATGCTGTGAGCATTTCCCAATATCCGCTGAATTTTACTCGCTTGGGTGAATTGATTCTCATTTAATGGAGAAAAACCTCGCCAACGTCAGCTCCCATTTGAACCTGCGTTGCATGCAATGGACAGTCTGCCGATAACAAATGTAATTGTCATTCATATTAAGCTTTCTCAGACGGGATCCAAGGCAAAGGTTAGATGATTAATTCTTCATACACAGTAGCACACATGTCACTTGACCGCAATGATTCCACAAAAGAGTGTCAAATGCCGTTATTCATCGGTTGATGAGAACATCTAGGTCCCAGATATCCGGGGCGTGGAAGCTTGTAGAAGCATGTTAGACTCCATGGCCTTTAGATGAGAGTTCCAT